TTTGGGGGGGCAGGGCCGTAGCCTGAGCAAAATGCCAGGGGGGGCAGTAAGCGGACACGAGGGGGCAAAGCCCCCTGAGTGGGGAGGTTGTGGGAGGGGGTGTCCCACGGTGTGGAAAAATTTTAAAAACTGTATGTATAATACTGCATTCTGGTGCATTTTAACTGTTATTTATTGCTCAATCAGAAGTCAGAAATTGCGATTTTTTTGCACCTCAAATCCCAGGGGGGGCAGCTGCCCCCCCTGCCCCCCCGGAGGCTACGGCCCTGGGGGGGGGGGAGAGAGAGAGAGATTGACAAAGAACTCCGTCATTAATGCGTGGGGACCACATATGTACAGAAGTTTACATGGAACTTATTTCGATGGTACAAAAATTGAACTTTTATGAATTTTTCATTTAAGATAGATTAATGGTTGTATGATCCCTTTACGAAACTGAAGAACACCTTTGTGGGTCTCTCTCTCTCTCTCTCTCTCTCTCTCTCTCTCTCTCGGGCTCATGCATTCTTACCTGAATATATCTTTGACGTGTCCTGTGCGTTTACACTGAAATAATATAATATAATATAATATAATATAATATAATATAATATAATATAATATAATATAATATAATATAATATAATATAATATAATATAATATAATATAATATGTCAGCGTACATTCTTGATTTTGAAAAAAAGTCTATTTATAATGATATATATCAGATACCATTAAATTTTTACAATAAATCTCTTCGAGTATGTTTTCCTTTAATTTGTTTTTTTTATCACTTTATAAGTTTTATTGTATTTTTTTAACACTTCATTATTCCATGCTTTATTATAATTATCATTTTGTGTTATCATTCATATAACTTTTTAATGTCATTTTAACATCTTATTTATCTATTATTTTGGTTTATAATTTTTATTTCTTTCATTATTCTGTTCTATCAAGTTTAATCATTTTTATACTATTATTTCACGTTAACATTTTCATTACTTTTTTACTTTTCTTTTCCATCATTCTCTCTCCACCTGCTATACATCAATGAACTGAACGGAATCCTGCAGTCAGCATTTAAGCTATTTTAAAAATGGCTGCCTAAATATCACTTAATTTTCTTAATTGCGGCTTTGAAATATTAATCGTGGTTTGAGATATTTCAAAGAGAATGTATTGGACTTGTTGAGGATTATCGGCGTTTTGAAAGAAAACAATGGGTTATTATGGCGCACAGTGTAGATAGTATTTCTACTCAAGATAACATTAATGGAGAATAACATGCAAAGCGCGAATTTAGCGACCGCACGCGACATAGAATGTCGAACGTCACTTACGGCTACAATCAAGACGTTATGAAATTTCAAAGCTTTCTGTGTGACTTACTTTTTAATGTGTCGCAAATCTGTCCCAAATGTTTCCCAATTTATGGCAATCAAACTAAAGCAGATATGTGTAGAAAAAAAACTACCAAACACCCATACCAGGGCTCAAAGTTTCTCCGATGCTAAATGAGAATTAAATCCCGGGGGGGGGGTAAACTATTTCAAGTTTCTTGGCCGATTATATAAATCCGCCAACCGCACAAACCATAAATGGCACAGGAGGTGTGTGTGTGTGTGTGTGTGTGTGTGTGTGTGTGTGTGTGAGAGAGAGAGAGAGAGAGAGAGAGAGAGAGAGAGAGAGGGAGGGAGGAACGATAGTAAAATGTGTGGAAACAATAAATACCCACGATTTTCTTTTAATCCCGAATACTTCACTGCTTCCCAACCACTCTTGATCGCATCAGCGAACATTGAAATAGATCTGGCGAATAAAAAATCTTTCAATTTTCTTTCTTTTCAATTTGGAAAACAAGGTGAACACAGTGTGCAAGGAAAGGGGAAGAACACGACACTTCATCAAGTTAAATATTACAGGTTATCCGTCCAGGCACTTAATATCGGTCCGGCACTTTGGGCTACAGGTTAAATTAAGAGGAATTTTTTATATTAAAAAGCGTTGCTCAGGGCATTGGTTTGAGTCACTGATAAGAGCTCCAAAGAATTACATCTTATAGCTTAATTTTTCTTTTATATATTGGTCAACTGGACTTCAAGATTTTCAGCATTTTATTCATTTGTTGGAATTATATTGTCACATGAAAACTTTACCTCTGAATACAATAAATAAATTCATGACACCGTTTGTTAGGAATTCAAATCAATTCAAAACAACGTTGTCTTCAAGGTCACTGTTTTGTGTGTTTGGAAAACGTTTATAGAGCAACTCCTGATTGTCTTGACAATGATTGTCATTGTCAGCGGTGACAAAAGCACATTTCGATGTGTCAGCTACATTTATTGCTGGTGAATCGTTCACAGCACGCTTTAGATTCTATTCACACGGTCGACAGTGAGATTTTAGAAAAGTCCAATTTTAAATTTTAATTTCAATTTTTTTTTTTTTTTTTTTTTTTTTTTTTTTTTGGTGAAACAGGACCTGGCTTCTTAACAGGACAAAAAAGCCGGTCACTTTTAAATTTGGTTTTCACTGTTATATCTGTCAGAAGATTCTAACTCTTGTGTCACAGCTACATGTTACCATCAAGAAAGTCTTCAAATTGACAAAAATATTCATAACTCGACTTTTTTTTTATCAACAGAAAACAATGTCAACTAATAAAAAGAAACAAAATAATAATAATAATAATAGACAAAATACTAAGCTCCACATCTAATAAGGCTAGTCAAACCCACATTCAAATATGTCGAATCCGTCAGTACAGTTTGTCATTAAAAACACATCTCTTTAAACACGTACCTTTGACCGTCGAAGGAAAAAGCAGCTGCAAGAAACAGAACGACAACTTTTGGCAGCTGAGCCATTTTGTCTTTGAGGAGTCCTCACGTAACCAGATAGTCGAAATAGTCAGCACGTTGTCCAGGGGTACGATGTCTCGTTCTAGATCCCTCCGTCCCTCACGGACTGTCAGTCCTTTAGTGACCAAGGCGAGTCTTGTCCACCGTTTTATTAACTGGTCTCCCACGGCGGGATGAGTGACCCCGTGGTTCCTTCAACGTCGTGACTGTTTGGGGGGTGATTAAAATGACCACGCGAGCTGACCGGCCGCGTAATGGCTAAGGAGTGTCCGGAGAGAGAGAGGGCGGGTCTGCAGCTAGCTCTCCAAGCTGTGCCTCCGTGTTAGCATATCATGTTTATTCAAAGCAATCCAGGGGTGATGGAGTCTGTATTTCTGTCATGCTATGAGAAGAGGGCTTGCACAATATTTATATCAGTATTTTGAACGACATGCGTTAGTTAGCATGTTATTTGTTGTACGATGTGAAGAATATCGAGGGTTGTAGCTGAAGTGAAGAAGAAGAGACTTCTTAAAATTCACAAATCATGATACTGTGTAAAGTCAAAGCAGCAAACATTTATTTTATTGAAAGCGTGGGAAGGTGGGGTGGGGAGGAGGGAGGACTAAAGGGTGCACTTCATGTTGAATTTCTAAAACGCAGATATGCGTTAGGTTTTTAGCATGTCACGATTTGTACCTTTAGAGGGACGACATTTTTCATACTTCTGTCCAACCTTTGACAGCTGTCATAATTTTTGTTTGTTTGTTTACTCGCGTGCATTTTCCTACTCTGATATTTTTAAGATGTGTTTTAAATGGTTTTCACCCCATGAACTCTGGATAAACGAAATATTTGGAGTGTTCTTTGCTCCAAATGCAATTAATCTACTAGTAGAAATGACCGCTTGAATACGTCATTATCAGAAGTGACTAGCTGTTTAAGATTAACCCAGATGTGACATTTAGAATATAGTATCTTTGTTGATAATATCTTAATAATTACTGATTCACTCATTTGTGATTTCTGACAATGGCGTTAATTGTGTCTGTCACTTCCTTCATTTACCCCTTCCAACGAGAAGAACGCATTTTTATTATCATTTCACTATATTGCACAAACAATTGGGACAATCCAAATATGGTCAGGAATAAAAAAGTAGAACTTTTTTCAAAATAGCCTTTGGCTAGGTGCAAATTAGTTTCGTATTCTAATTCTTTCTTTCACTTTTGTATGCTCTATAATAGTCATGAAATTGGGTGAAAAAAGAACGAAAGGCACACACCTCTGGTGCCATCTCCTTTTTGTAAATAATGTCCTGCTTTTTCTTTCCTTTTTTCTTTCTTTTACGTGTTTTTGCCCGCGTGGACACCTTAACCTCAAATGACATCCACCGTTACTGTCATGATACACAGGAATAACAAATACATTACAGTAGCCATTAGGAGGCGAGTTTTTTTTATGTGTCAGATGGACATCGCAACGATTACACGCCCCATGCTTTTTCGAAGATCAAGCTTCTGTCAACTTCTTCGGCGAATTTTTAAACAAAAGACTATTAAAACATAAATTTACTTTTTTGCATTACTACATACTGATAATAGCCTTTGTTTAATATGAATTCCTTAGAACTGGCAGGTAAGCGTTTAAAGGTATAGAAAAACACATAGGATCTTGTCTTCTTCAGCACATTGATAGTGCTGATGATAAAGCTATCGGTGTAGGATCATAAAATTGTGGTTTGGAGACGAAATCTTTGTAAATGATGCCCATTACCCTAAGATACCGTCTCCTTTAGACCACTTGTAGCAGTAGACGTAGCAGCTCTTGACTACAAGGGAACACATCATAGGTGGCCTGCCGCTGAGGTGGTGCCTACACCATGTCAACATAGAGGATTCAGATTCAGATTTATGCCTCATTATTATTATTTATACATTTTAACTATCAAAAACACGGCTGCAAGCATAATTTATCGCCCCCTTTCTTTTTGTCGTTTATTTATTAATAATTGTGGTTTATTTCACGTCGTGCAACCACGCCTGTCAAGTTGCCAGGTTAGTGCCCGTGTCTTCCACTCCTGACACGATAATTTAGATGACCACTGACAGAGCCCTTGGAACGTTGCAGGAATGATGTCATACTGCCCCCAATACAAACAGTAGATGCATAGCGTATAACAGTGATCTGGGCCGAATTATCCGAAACCGCAGACAAAAGACATGTGTATTATATCTTTATGACTGCTCCGCCCCAAATTACCACAAATATCGCACCATCATTCTCACCAAGTAACAAAGAACACAGGGTTTTGGTTGGTAGAATTGTGGCCAATTAAGGCCACTTTTATTACCTCACTAATGAATTCCCTTAATTTTACATTGCAACTAATTATTGCCAGTATTCATATTTAATATAATGAAATCCAAAATTAAAACAGACATTTCATATTTAAGACAAATTATCCAAAATGTTGTTTTAAATAATCATGAAGCATCAGTCATAGTTTTGTATATATAAGGAACTGCACCCGTTGGAATTGCCTTGGATGATTCACATTTATGACGGTATGGCACACGACTTGGGAATTAGGTTGTTCCCATCCCGATTACCTTTTGCCCTCCCAATGTTATCAGATAGAGAAGAGTGGACAATGAAGAGATACAATGGCTAGTTAGTTTTTGTCACGAGGCGAGAACAAAAGACCTCTGAAGGACCACGGCCATGGTCGGCCCACTGCAAAACAAAATATCCTCCTATCTTGATGTAAAGGACACTTTTATATGCACGGTCAAAGGATGTATGATTTCTGAAGACGTTCGTTTGGCGTTAGCGTCTCCAAGACGTATGAGAAAATGTTTGCGTTTTTAGTAAAACGTTATCAAAACGTCTTTGGAATACTTCAGTAAGGCACACAAAGCAGGGCATTATATCGGATATCAGATATAATTCCTTGCACAAAGTGAGCAGTCTAACAGCCCCAAGAGTGTGCTTGAGTTGATGTATGTAAAACACGTCAGAATTTAGTCAAATGGTTGTTCATATATAAAGAATAGATCTACAGGAGAGCTAATCTTGCCGCATAATTAATAAATAAGTCAAAGACAGTCATTAAATTAGATATATACGAGGGGCGTATTTCTATATATTGTTGCCACAGAGAGCCACATGGTATTGTAAAGAACTTTCTCAAATTTCATTAAAAAGTTGTACTAGTAATCGTAATTATGCTGGTATCATGCCTTTTGATAGAGCAGAGGATCTGTCTATTTAATCAGGAGAGTAATTTTCTACAGCATTTTATAACAACCGACTGATCTTTGCTAAGATCTTCCGAGGTTCACGTAAACATCTGATTGAAACACATTTGCTGAATATAGTAATAGTTGTAAGGGGGAAAAAAAGAAAAAACAAAAAAACAAAAAACAAAAAAAGAAAAAACAAACAAAAAGAAAACAAAAAAAATATATAACACTTGTAAGTATAGATTGCCACTTGTTCTTGGCATAGATTACCACTTCTCAAAAATCCAGCTGGATTTCAGTCTTTCCCCTGTTCATTGTTGTGTCTTGCAAACGTAGCCAAGACATTTCTGCACGTTTGTTGAAAACCGTTAAAGACGTCATTATTTTACACAGAAGGGGTGAGGGTAACGATCTCAACGCGTTATTTATTATCATCACTATAGTAATAATAATAATAATAATAATAATAATAATAATAATAATAATTATTATTATTATTATTATTTGACGTGAATATGAAGTATTGACATCTTTGTTTATTGCAAATCTTTGATATGTACTCCAAACGTCTTGAGACATCTATAAACCGTAGCGGCGACGTTCCCCGTATGTAATACTTTTCTGCTTTTATGAATTATTTAAGACGTGCCAGAATTCTTCAAGAAAAACATCACCTGGATGTTTTTATGACCCGAAATGGTGGGCTGGGAACATTCCATTTATCACGTAGAGATAACCCACCTAGCCTGCAAAGTTATATCGTGCCATGTTGTGATAATACAAGAGCACGTATTAATTAACGTGTCACTGCATTAGAATGAACAAAGAGGCTGGCATATACTTTAATTGGAGGCTCACTGTTAAAATGAATTTTAACTAGAACAATGGTAACTTCTGTAAGTATTTTCATATTTTCGCTGGCGCTTGGGCAATACCGACGATGACCACCCTCGGTCATGATATGAAGGACAAAAATTTCCATACATCACGTCTTTCCAATTATGCAATTACTGAGCAGTGCCCTAATTTCTTACTTGATTAGTTAATTCCTCTCTCATGGAGGGGCAGTAGTGACTAGAGTGCCTTGGAAGAGTACCTATCTTGTTTGTGCGTTCTTCTGTGGCGTATTTATGGTATTGGGCTCGGGGAAGCGACATAAATTTTGTTACACAAACCTTAATTTATGCCACATCAAAAAAAAATCGTTTTCTCTCATTTTTAAACTTTCCACAAATCAGAAAAAAAGATGCCTTTGAAAAGTAGAAGATCGTCTGTTTTAAATCCCCTTGACCTTGCTCAAGAGTGAAACATGATATCTTGTTAACCGAGTTGATCGAGTTTGTTTTTTTGCTGCGAGAGAAAACATGGTACTTGTGAAATGTGCACAACAACACCACTTATCATCTAGGACAAATTGTGACAACACTTCTTGTCTTGGCGGAAACCCTTGGCGTCGCACAGACGCAGGGCATGGATAAATGGACAATAAAGAGTGGACTTATATGCCAAGAAGTTGAATGAATCTAGAAAATTTGGGGAGAAATGTGCTCGCATTGAACGACTACAAGATATACAAACCATTAAAGAAAATAATCCAAAGCTTGTCATTGTTGAATGTCGAGTAAGAGCACGTACTCATATATTGACGGGCGCGCACGCAACGCACACACACACACAGAGAGAGAGAGAGAGAGAGAGAGAGATCTTTGCTGTTCTTCATACTACCCTGTTTTACAGTGAAGTAAATCACGCTGTCAGACCATTCTCCATACATCATCGTCAATTAAAATTAATCAAATTGCTGATTCATAATTAAGATATTTGTCAAGTTCTCACATAGCGTCCCTAAGTGGTGTCTATATCTCTGACAACAGTCTTTGTGTGCTACAGACAGAGTCCATTGTTTTGCTGATAAAATACAGAGATATTGATCATATCAGAAAGTTCAAGATCTGATACTGGTTTGGACAAAGTTAAATTTTATAAACTTAGGATACATATTACTTGGTGCATGGCTACTGGCCACTTCAATAAGCAGGTCGCAGTTGGGTTATGATTACGTCATTTTATGCCTTAATAGACGGTATAATTAAAATTTTGAAGATTCGCTTTAACAGGTCGTTGATACTTTTTGCATGTGATCCCGCATTCCTTGTTCTCCTGGCCTGCATCATTATAAAGACTCCTATTTCATGCATATTCATTCTAGTAATTGCAGCTGAAAAAAGAGAGCCTCCCGCGCGAAGTTAAAGACAACAGGCTTTCTTTTTCAGGTGGATTATATTCCAGGGATAATTTGCTACCCCTTTGTCACTACTTGGAGATCGTGGGATATCTGACACAGTGATGTCTTTTTTCATTTGGAGATTAAATCCCGGCGGACACAAAAGCCTTTTATAACGCATGGAGTGCTCTACCAGGGCCACAGATTGACTTTTCTCAGGATATTCACAGATATGTCTTTAGATAAATAGACAGTCATTTTACTATCTCTGGATTTCCCATTTTTCCCTGTATAATCTGCCACCCTGGTAGAGGGTAGGTGTGCCCAGTGTGTGAGCCTCAGAGAGGTTAATAACACTGGGGTGTTCGGAATTAAACTTGGGGTGGGGAGATTGGGGGTCGCACAAGGTAATAGAACTCATAATCTTGTTTTGCTCTACATGTTCGTATACCAAGAAACAAGATTTATTCTTATATGGCGCATTCCATATCGTATCAAAGGTTATGAAAAAATTACAAATTTCTTTAAAAAGCATAAACTTATTAATCTAAAAGAGTAACTAATTGCTCAGAATGCTTCATTTTTAAATTAAAAAATAAAATGATAGGGTTGGAAGATGTAGAACAAAATCTTACAGTATCAGTTTCTATATATAAAATGTTAGTCTTAACAGTTTTTGCACTTTCTTATCAATAGGCAAGTATTCCATATCCCTGGTGCTTATATTGTGTATTGTATATTGTCCGTTCCCTATAAAACGTCTTAGCTTTTTCTGTTTAAAACATAATGTTCTAAGCAAAATAGTTTAATGGGGGTTGAGAAATGCCATAAAACTAGACTTATCATTTAATTCTTATTTGAGGCGGGGAGATATGTCTTACGTCATCCTGTCTGCCTCAATCCATCACTGCCTCGTGTTATGTGACACCCGCCAGGGTCATTGGTCTGCTATGACAGGTGCCCGTCAGCCCATACTGCAGGGTTTTAACATGACTAGAATTATGTGGGTTATAGTATAGGAGAGAGGGGGTGGGGACAGGAGAGGCACCCCCCTCCTCCCTTAGCAGACTTCATATGTGCTCTTCCTTTCTACACTAAAATGGTTGAGATAAATATTAAACCAAGCACCAAAACCATTTCCAAGGTACCCTTTGTGTAACGGCCTACAAAATCACCCCCCGTATTTGTATTTGTTTTCAAAAAAGTATTTCTTCCTTTTCCAGATAGGTCGAAGTTTTCTCCTCTTCACTTTAAAGTCTACCGTCCTCTTCAAACAGAGCTATTCGTAAAGTTTAAGGTTCCAGTCAACAGTCATTGTACCAGAGAAGATGAATGGCCGGCCGGGCACTGTTTACGGCTTACTTCGAGCATTACTCACGCGGAAATGTCGCCGATTGTTGCCTGCATGGAAACAGGAGTGGGGATAATGGCTTCTCGACATCACGATTTAGTTTTTTTTATGTCTTGATCTTTGATCTGCTTAGATAACATAGTTTATTAACCACCAACGTTATTAACAGATACTTGAGTTTTAAAAAGTTACTACGAAATTCCAAATCCAGTTTTGTCTTTAATGATATTCTTGAATTTGTTCGTGGCATATCTGAAACTACTACGTGTTTCAAAGGTACATGGCATAATATTTAGTTTATAAATGGTCTTTTTAAACAATTACAATTTTATTAATGTAAAGGTTATTTCGTTGTTCATTTGAACTCTCTATAGTGTTCTGAAAGTGGTGCATTTTCATTTCAGAGAATCAGGTTGAAGGAATGGAAATCACGACTTGCTATGATGTTTACAGAACCAGCGTTCGACCATGCTTTAACGAATTCCGACGAAGTTGCATAACAAGGCGGGATTAAGTTAAAGGTCATGGCGGACCGGTAGCTAAACCAGACCTCAGCACGCTTGTATTTTTCTGTGGTATGTAAAGGTGACAGCTACTGTAGAATACGGTACAAATGAGAGGTGAATATTAACTACATAGTGATGGTGAAAACACCATGGTTGTAATGGTCACTGGCACGCTCAGGTAGATTGAAGGGCGCTGTCTGTAACACGAAGGACAAGTGTTTAAAAAATGGGGGAAAAATGGAGATAAGTGGACATAAACAATTCGACTAATACATGTAGGCAGAGTTTGTGTACATTTCCAGACCATCCATCAGCGTAAATTCCACTGTTTTTTGTCTTTGTTTTGTTTTTACCATTTACATTTGTCTTCTTTTGTAAGAATGAGAGTGGCACTGCATGTGTGCCGGGGGGGTGGGGTGGGGTATACAGACGGCTGGACAGTCGGATAAATTGACAACTACTTAAGACTGAAATACAGAGCAAAGACAGAGGGACAGACACACAGACAGAGGCAAAGGTAGACAGAGGGACAGACACACAGACAAATGGGTGAGTAAGTAGGCGGGAAGACATGGGCAATAAACTGACCAGTAACCACACGATCAATCAACTCTCGCACTGACCACCACAAACATGGCCAAAATGACCAAAATGACCAGCCCCCACCCCAGGCAGGGATCGCGTCCAGTGTCCGTACCAGCCCGTGGTCAGAGAAGACAGGTGGTCTTGTCAACCCATGAAATAATACCACACGCTGGTGACACTTTTCATATTGATGATCATATTTATTATCCTTGGCCGTAAAAATACTGAAAAATAACCTACGTTGCTAGAGCATACTGTTTCTTATAGCCAAGGAATCATATGTTTTTGTCACGGACGCTGGGCAGGTCTTTTGTACCAGGCCATTTGTCTTTGATTTTATAACTCTTGCGTTGGGAAGACCGCAATTTCGTTGTAATTTTGACGTTTATTAGCATTCTTCGCGTGCCGGTCATTTTCGATTGTTGTTAAATCGACCACAAAGTTGTAATAGTCTCAAGACAAGAGTTTAACTTGTTCTGGGCCGAGGTTGGTGGGGTCTCACACGACAGCCCCCATGACCAGACCCACACTGAGGCTACAGCGTCCATCTCCTGTTTCCATTTTGGACGTTAATGACTTGTGGAATATAACGTACGTGTACCGCCTGTCCTGTTCCTTTTACGCCCTCTGCCTTCACATGCCTACCTCTATATTGCCACGTTTCTCTTGATTTAACATGTCTCCGTGTTAATAGATTATTGATTTTAATAAAACGAGAATGCTTGAACAAAATACTCTACCCGACATTCTATGTTTATTGTCCAATTATTATATGCCAATTTCCTTTAAAATTCACAATGTCACAGCAGACTGTCAATGAACACGTAATAAAATAATTTAAACAGCACAAAATGTTTTTTATATATATTTGGAGGCTCTTTAAACTGCTCGAGTACAGTACATGTGATTTAGAATACAATGTCGTTCAATGTAAACGGCGGGTTAGATAAACTGTGTGAACACAACTTAAAAGTCTTAATGGTTGTAAATTTTCACGACAATCATTTTTGTAGGGGTCTGCATTTTTGTATTACTTCGTTTACACATTAAATTATGACAGGCACACCATGCGCATTGAGTGGGTTTTGTTAAATTGATTTTTTTTCACATAATGTAATTGAATGTTTTCAAATAAACTTTGTTCTGTAATTGGCAACCGATACGCGATTTGCATTTGCTGTGCACAAACATTTTAACTGAATTAGTGGCAAAGAAAATACGCTGAAGATTCACATCTCAATATCCAAACTAAATCTATTTATTTATTCACCTCCTGGGTCTATAAACATGCATGTAGCGTCCATCCACGCTCGACTGTCACCTTGATTGGCTTATCAGTCTGGTTAATAAACTAAAAAAATAACAGAAAACGACTTTAGAACATACTTCTTTACCATATCACTAAAAAATCAATAAAAATTGGCTAAGTTTTCAAACACAATTTTCATGACAGTCGAGCGTGGGTCTAGTGAACGAAAAGCCGGGGCGTACTCTGCAACTTGGTTGCGTTTCCCCTCCCAACGCAATGCTTGCAGTCAAACCAATCTCACTTAACACAATAGACGGGTCCTCGGCAACCTGTTGATTGGTGTCACACCTGCCCGTGAGATGGCGCTGGCAGAGATTCAGCCGTTAGTCAGTGTGACCTACTTTCCCAGTTTTGTCACAAATAATTCCGCCATCTTGAAATTGGGCCAGGTGAAAGATGCAGGTAGGTCTTTGAAATTATCGATGTTTTCAGTTGATCACAATTAATTAAAGAGGCCTCTTTTAAATCATGAATTCTATTGACTGGTACGGACTTGGTGAAATTTAATTAAAATTTTAGACTTTTTTGTGTTTGGAGAATTTTGGATTTAATTTTACCTGAAGTGCCCGCCAAGTGCGACCCAGGTGAGTCATGACTTGAACTATGCAGAAACAGCGATGCCGCATTCCAAAGGAATTGTTCAAAACCTCGGGAATGATTCGAAAATTAATAAAACCGTTTATATCACTTGGGGTTTTCTTGACGATTGTGTGAAAAAAGGTAAACTTCAATTTGTTCAAAAGGTTCAGTTGAAAGGAAAATGTGCAAGACGTTGACAAGACCGGAAGATATTTTATAACTTTTATGTTCAAAATGGCCGAGTGTTTGCCTTTCAATAACACAGGATACAAGGTTACAAGACCAAAAGTGTACACGTAATGAACGGGGAGGCAAATTTATAATTATTTCTATTTTGATATCGTTGGATTTTTCACCTGGATTTAATCAATTTACGTGCATGGTATACTTTAAAAACATTGGATCGTATGGCATAGGCAAGTTTGTATTTGAATAAATGTTTTACGATCTTATTACAATGTAAAATATTTTTAACAGCTTTTGATAATTTACATTATTTACAGTACTTTGCTCTAAAAAGAATGAACAATTCATTATTTTCTTTATCCAAAAATTTTCATTTGGTAATCAATTACCATCATGTGCGTAGTTTTAGGGTACAACATGCTGAGGGAACAGCTTGAAAGTTAAATTAGAGCTCTTAGACCATCTTAGGTGGAGAGGGTCTTTTTCTGACCAAAGCGGACATTCACCACTTTGGTCAGAAAAAAACTCTGTCCTGAATCTAAAATCATTCTAAATTCTGTCATTTCTCAAGTTTGTCATCTAAGGAATCTGTAATATTAATTTTTTTCACTAGAAAAAAGAATCCTTCTTTTGAAATAGCTGTTACACAAACACACAACATGGACTAAGAAAAGTTTATTGGTTGATTATTAAATTAAACTACATGAAACTAAAACCAAAAACAATTCTTAAAAGCTCAGAGCCACGTAGTGGTCTTATGGTAACTCAAACAAACAATTAATAATTTTTTGGTCTCTTATGAAAAATAATCCTATTCCTGTGTTAATTTCAGATGAACTCCCGGGGCCCAGGAAGTATGAAGTCTATATTAACAGCAGTAGTTGTAGTATTAGCTATCAGCAGAGTTAGTGGAGTAGATTACGGTAAGTAGAAACTGATCAACACGTATAATTTCTGAAATACATAAGATGAAAACAAAAAATGCAAGTTCATTATTCATTGATGCAAGTTCTTTATTCAGTAAATTTATAAAATTACATGTTCATTCAATTGATTTTGATGAAGACAATAAGATTTGAAATGCTTTAATAAGTTTAATTTTTTGAAAATAAAATTAAGACATGATAAATCTGAAAAAAAAGACATACTCAAATTTTCTTGTCACATTAGATCAATTTGAAAATCCCCCGCCCCCTTTATTTAGAATGGCAGAGAAAAAAGGTGAAAAATTAATAGAAATTAAAATGTTTTGTGGTATCATTTGGACAAAATCTCACCTAACTGGTTACTTAATCCTTTGTCCTTTTAAAGATAGGGTAAGTATTAAGAAATAACATTTCTGTGTTAGAGAAAAGAAGGAAAATCAGAGCATTCATATATTATTTCCTCTACAGCTTGTCCGGCCGGCTGGGAGACCCACAAGGATCATTGTTATAGGTTTCATGTCCAGGGACAGAGTGCCGTCACCGAGGCCAAGGAGCTTTGTGCGGTAAGAACCACACATGAGCTTTTTCTGCGGAAAAGCGTAATTCTGCATTTTTTACTTCAATTCTGTTGGTTTCTGAGATTCGTCAAGATTAGGTGTTGGGTCCCATAATAAATGTTCAGAGGTTTTTTTTTCTTTTTTTTTTTTGAAACCTAGGCTCATGTCTGAATAACACAGTAGAGAGTTTTATGATTTGTTATCCAAGTTACCATTGAATCTTAGTGTCTGTGATCTCCTTAATTTTATGCTTGGTTTATTAATTTGAATTGTGCAGTATTAAGCAATTTAGAAATTTAAGAAATTTAATTAGAAGTGATAAGAAGGATGCCTTTTAGCTGACTTTATTTCATTTCTTTTTAGCGAGATGGTGCTACATTATTAGAAATTGATGACAAAGAGGAACACGACTTTATAGGTTCAGTGCTGTCAACTTTAAATGTTGTACAAAAGTAAGTTTTCTTAACACAAATTACACTGTCAGATTTCTGAGCAAAGAATAATTAAAATGGTGTTTTTTTTAAAATTGATATGACAGGTAACAAGAAACTAAAAAAAGCATGTTTTTAGGATTGAACATATGCAATTGTCATACTAAAGCTCTGACAGTGGATGATTTTAACTTCCTGATCAGAATGCCAATCAGTCAGTTACCATGGTTTCCACATCTAGTTTTTATAATAGGTGTTATGGCAGTCAGGCTGTTGCCATGGTTTCCATAATGGGTGTTTTGCCAATCCAACTGTTTCCATGGTTTCTGTAGTGGGCGATATCTCAGTCAACCTGTTGTCATGGTTTTCAGGTATGATTACTACACTGATGGTGAACGCAGTGATAAACTAATCGTAGACCCAGATGACCCTAGCGAGCAGGTGGACAACTTCCGCTGGGCCACCTCTGGGAATACCATAGCAACCGATTCCTTCTGGATCGACACCACCGTGAAGACAACCATCCCCAACGGAAATTATATTATTTATACATTCCAAGGTGAGAATTAAGGCATGGGAGGCATTTGATTTATTTGTTGCATATTTTATCACCTCCATATAAATTGTCTTTAACTCTTGGTTTTAATGTACATTTATATATGATCCAAGTTGTAAACCCCTATCGCTGTTAGTAGGTAGGTATAGTACTCATAATGCACTCTCTTTGCACATCAGTATGGGCCAGCATGTGTTATGACAAAAAAAATTAAATTGATATAACATGTGAAAGAGGTATGGCGGTGTGTGAAATAGAATATTATTGATTCTTTACAGTATTTTATTCTTGGTGTTCATTTGGCAAATTTTGCTTATTTTCATGATGTAAATATTCTAAAAGTAACTAAAGGTACTTATTATCTAAAGGTAGATAAATATGGGTTAGACATGAAAATCTTCAATTTTGAAAAATAAATATGCTGTGTTATTATTTATTTATTTATTTTTAAGTATTTCTCGAACATTTTTGAATTTTTCTTTCCCAGATAACCGCTGGGGTTGGACACTAAATGACGGGCAGGCTGAATTGTCCTTTATCTGTGAGATCCCCAACACAGATATCTACAAGATTGTAGAGTCTGAACGTGATGCAGGTGAGAGCTAGGGTTTTCTTGAAAGGTTAAAGAGAGACATAAGATAAGAAAAAATATTTTATGAAAGTAGATTGAATTCAGCTAGCATAATGGAAAAACCATTTGTTTAATTGACTGTATAACCTCACCCTCTGACATTTTCATTTCAAGGTTTCGGATCCACGGTCCAAGAACCAGAGTTTTACGAGCGTGGACCCAAGATAACTGAGCAGCCACAAGACACCGTGTTTGATACCTCATCCAAGAGAACATACGTGACATTCTCGTGCTATGCTGATGGATATCCATTTGCCACATACGACTGGAGGAAAATAGCGCAGACGTCTTCCACCCCGCTGTCAGAGCTGGCACTGCAGGAACCAAGGTATGGAAAGATGCTGTTATGAGATTTTTCCTTCTCGACACATTTAAGCCTTGTTTTGGCCAAAAATATCATTTTTGACATCATTGCAGGCATCTCCCTGGTCCCCTATAATTTTTTTGTTGACTTTTTCTCTAAATGGCTGTCTCATCCCTTATAGGTAGATGATGGTCAGTTTTGTGTTGAACGATTTTTATATGGAACTTAAAAATATTGAGATTTGAGTCCATTAATTCTGAGTAAAATGATTGAGCCAAATCCTTCTTTAACATATGTGGTAAGATGAGTTTCAATATCCATGACTAAATGAACATTTAGTTTGAGAATCAATTTTAACACAATTACAGGAAGGCAAACCAAGCATGGAAAATGCCGAAAAACTACAAATTCACACTACCTTTGCAACTTTTTAAAATACTCTCTGTTGAACATAATCTAGGTACACAATTAACAACGGCAAGTTGACCATCCACACTCCGTCCAAGACCCTGGACTCTGGCAACTACCAATGTGTGGCCAGTAACAAGTATGGCTCAGTTCTCAGCAACCAAGTCCAACTGCAGTTTGGATGTAAGTATGGCAGGGACGATACTTTTCCGACTTTTTGGGAGCCAAAATTATCATTGGCTTAATTTATCGTTTCTTTGGACTCCACGCCATATTTTCTGACTTTTTTCCAATTGCAGTCTTTTCCCTGTATGGGCAGGTTAACATAGCTCACATTTTGTTCTGTCTCAGCACTTTGTGTACTCTGATACAGACATGTTTTTCAGTGATTTATGAATTTTTTTCTTGTAGTTTTCTCTCTTAAGGCAGCCCTTATACCCCCCTCTCCCCAGTTGTAAGGTTACCTGGCTGTTTTTTTCCTCCTTTTTTTTCTTACAACGAAAGCTTATCTCAGAATTAAGATGTAGCAGTTTAATCAAGAGCTTTGTCACAGAATTTTATGCCTAGCTGGTTGATTTGTAGACTGAATGGGCAAGTCTTTGAAAGTATCCAGGCTGGGCAATCTTACACCAAGAGCTATATCCATAAAATTTCTAAAGATCAGCAGAACAAGGTGCCTCTTTTCATTTTTTTAAAACCTTTTTTCTCTTTTCATCAGTTTTGGATGACTTCCCTAACGTGATTCGTCAGCCAGTACAAACCTCTGTCACCGTGGGGACCGCCATTCCCTGCAACGCACCCAATCACTATGGAGGTAAGACGGAACTACTTTGTTCTCAGTTCAGTAGTAGAGATTTAAGTCTTTTGAATTTATCCTGAAATTTGGGCTTGATATTTTTGCTGCCCATCTTCAGCACTTGCATTTTTAGAATTATTTTTAAAGATTCAATTTCATCACCATGACTGTGATTAGGGAATTATGTGTTATTTCTTAATTTTTTCATAATCATTACAGTATACAATTTTACTGCATCATTGAATATGAGGATAGTGTTATTGGTGATTCAATAAATTTTCAAACACAATTTTATTTTCAGAGCTTATTTATCAGTGGTACAAGAATACTCTGAGAGACTACATCCGTACTGACGTCAAACCCTGGGTCTTCATCTCCCAGTCTGGCTACATCTACTTCTCTTCTGTGACGGAGGAGGATTCTGGAAACTACATCTGTCACGTGTACAGTCCCATCTCCACCTCTAATACTGGAAAGTTTAGCAAACCCATCCAGCTCATTGTCACTAAAGGATGTAAGTATTTAACTATTGCTGTTTCTTTTTATTTCTATACTGTTTATGTGGTTTGTTTGTGGCAAATGAAAATAAGTATTTTCTGGTGCTGATTTTGAGGACCTGAATTCCACCGATATTATAGTGAGTTTTCCAGTTGATTGTGACTCAGAGGTTTTTTATCGTTATTTTCCCTCACAGTGCTAATATCTTTTAAATCTTACACTTTCTCCAGTTGTTTGAAATAAGAAGATTAATATATATCCATTGATTTTTTTTTTTTTTTTTTTTTTTTTGTAATCAAGGCTGTCCAATTGTTTATTTTCAGTGTCCCGTATTGTTGAGCCTCAGATCGTGAGTGGTTTTCCTCAACTGTTTCCTCAGAACACAGCCTTACTGAGAGGCATGGAGATTAGACTGGAGTGCTTTGCATGGGGAACGTAAGTGAATTGATCAAGTTTTAATGCCTGGGAACGTGAGTGCAATGCTGAGATCAGTAACTGTTTATCTGTTTTTGTGAAAATTGTCTGGAGTATTAGAAGTTTCTTAGTTTCCATAGAGTATTAGCGATTTATTTATCACATGGAAAAATGTATTGCCATTTTGTTAGCCAAAAGGAATTATAACATTTGACAGTTATGTTTATGTGACATTATTTTATACCTAAGTACTAGGTCAGTTTTACTTAATGATGTTTTTATTTACAAATCTGAGTTTCAACCTCATTTGTAATTTTATAAACAGGCTTATTGAACATGTATACATATTATATGCTTAATCATTTGCTTAATTCAGTTTGGTAGCAGCAAGTCTTATATTTCACCCCTTTTTCTTTCTTCACAGAAACAACCTATTCTACCAGTGGGGAAGAACTGATGGTAAGAACATGCCGCGTCGTGCTATCACTAAAGACAACAACCGTGTCGTGATCATCCCCAGCGTGGAACTCGCAGACGAGGGGACTTACGAGTGTAGAGTGCAGAGAGAATTTGGGCAGACGGCCACTGGAACTGTTACTATTACTCTGGAAGGTAGGCAGTAATCCTCTTGTGTGAGCAATTTATTTATTTTATTATTTTTTATTATTTGTTCATTTCTTTTTGAAATAGTGTTCAAGTCATGAACATTTTTTTTACTGAATTATTTAAAGTTTGTAAGATTTAAAATTTTGTTTCATTTTCTCCCTAGCCGAGCCTTATTTCCTGGTCTCCTGGAAGGATGAGTTCGTGGACCAAGGCGATTCTGTCAGTTGGAGCTGTCGTGCCAATGGAAAACCAGAAGTCGACTATTTTTGGTTCAAAAATGGTTTACCCCTCAGTGAAAACACCCTACCTGCCAATGAAGTGGGCCGTTTCTCCTGGACTCAGAGAAAAGATCGCCTGACTATCCAAAATTTGAAGCAGTGGGATTCTGCGATGTATCAGTGCGGGGCTAAGAATCAGTATGCAATGAGATACCTGACCAGAGAACTGAAAGTGATGAGTAAGTTGGAAACATTTCCTGATTTTTTTCATGATTTATTAGGCCTTTCAAGTAATATTTATTAACTATACCGATTTGACTTTTAGTGGAAATAATTATGATTCTGATTTCACAAATAACACTTGTGGTTTAAGAACAAGATAAACTATAAACAAGATAAAACTATGAACAGATAGATATGAATATTAAGTAATACATAACCATTATTATATTTATAATGAAATGTCACCCCTTCCTCATCTTCCAGGATTTGCACCATCTTTCATCAAGAACCCAGTAGACCCCAACCAGTTTGCCGTCCAGGGAGGTAACGTCACCATCGTCTGCCAGCCAGAAGCTGCGCCCAAGGTCCAAGTGGAGAAAATCACCTGGAAGAAAGACGGTGGCTCCCTCACTCTGACTGGTGGTGGACGCATCAGTAAACTGCCCAATGGCAACCTCTTGATTCGTTCAGTCCAGTACAGTGACAGGGGAAATTACACCTGTGTTGCTGAGAATGATGTCGGGTCAGCCGAGAGTACTGGGTTCCTGACTGTAGTAGGTAGGGAGAATTTTGATTCTGATCATGAATTTAATTGATTCTTATTTTGACTTGAATTTTATAAATTGGTTGCTTGATAGATAAGAGAATATTTCAGTTTTCATCCGAATAAAGAAGTTAAGACTAAGTGAAATATAAAGTTTTATTTAGAATTTGCTTAATTATTTTTCCAAAAAATATTTTATCTTTTTAGGGATATATATTTGTGAGTACCTCCCTTAATAAGTGCTAAAGTGTTGGTTTTGAATAAAAAATTATTACCTCCACCATTTTTTTTATCATTATTGGGTTGCTACCTAACTGACCTGTCTGAAAAAGTAATGGACAAAATTTTACGGATATGGGCTTACTTAGAATCAGTTAACTAGATCTTGGTGGTGATTTGTTCATGGATTTATCTTGAAATTTGAGCTGCCTTGGCGGAGGTCCGCCATATCTAAACTGCATTTGAGTGCTTAAATTTCTTCTGGCCACTATTTTAAATCTGCATGTTTTCATACATCAGAATCCACCAGTCTCCAGATGAAGCCGTCAGAGCAGTCTCCTCCAATCAGGACCACATACGTAGGTCAGAACCTAACCCTCTACTGCCTTGCCACCGTCAACCCACTGCTCGACCTCAACTACATATGGCGGTTTAATGACCGCGATATCGACTTTGAGGGCAAGTACGACCAGTATGGGCTGCGTGTGGAGGAACCAGACAGATACTGGCAAAGGGTAAGGAGCTCTTGTCTTTGTTTTTTTAATTTTTATGAAGTTATTTTATAAATATTTAATGTAGTTTATAAAGATCTTTGTATGGGTGAAGGCTGTATGAACTTGCATATTGTGTAAGGGCCCAAGCTTTTTTATTCAGCGAATTATGTATCCTTACCTAATCTGTAACCTAGCTATTTGTAATGTATAGTGGTTTATATAATATATTCAAAACAATTTTAATACATTGTATTTTTATATCAAAATAAAAACATGGCATTACTGTGTTTCTAGGGAATTGGTGAATACCGTGGTAACCTGCTGATCTACCCTGTAACCTTTGACGTGGAGGGCTGGTATGAGTGCATAGCTAAAACACCTGCCGATCAGGCCTCCGCTAAAGTGGAGCTCAGAGTTGAAGGTATAAGAATTTTTACTTTTTATTATTTGAGATTGAAAAATTCAAGACTGGAATGATCTTTGTCAACAGTTGTTTTATGATAATATTTTATTGAGCTCTAAATATGCCACATTTCCAAAAAAATTATTGGAACTGATAGATGAACCATTTCTCACCAGTAAGACTATTTCTCTGTCCCATCATTCCTGGACATCTCTTGTCGTGTTTTAGGTCCCCCAGGCCAGCCGTCAGGTATTGAGTGTGTGACCTTGAACTCCAGTTCTGTCAATGTCACATGGTTCCCAGGACCTGATCATCGCAGTGCCATACAGCAGTATAAGATTGAGGGCTATAACACTGCCGAGGGGATCTGGAAAACTGCCAAAGAACCAGAAAGTGAGTGATTCATTGTTTGTCACTTTTCACTATACCTTATTTTTTCCTTTACGGACTTTCCTTTGAGTGATTCATGCCTTTAATCTATTGCTAAGGAATGTGTCAAAAAGTTTTTGAATTAAATATGGAGAATAAAATTCCATAATACATAGCACGTTGAACTCGCCCAGTTCACAAAATACAAAAGTTTTCTTCTTTGTCAAAACTTCTTCAATTGTGATTTATTAAATTATTGTATTTGTATAACATTATAAAGGTACCAAGATCTTATTGAGATAATTTCTAATGTGGTGTTATGGAATTCTAGTGATCACGCAGGCTGAGTTAGGGGCCAGACGAGCCACAGTGACGGGACTGAACCCATGGAGTACCTACAAGTTTAGATTGTTGGCAAAGAACGGTTACGGATGGGGCGAACCCAGCAAACCTTCTCGTGAGTAGCTGAAACATGTTCAGTCGGTTTATTAATTGCTATTGTTTTTGTCGTGATGTTTTTCCTGTAAATGCACCAACAGTATATTCATGTTTTGGCTTTTCTAATAATTTAGTGCTTGGAAAATACAGACCAAAAAGGATGAATTTAATAATTTTTTTTCATCATCTGTATAAATGTTCAGCAATAATCAATGTCAACTAGTAAAGCTAGAAACTTTCCAGCAGCCTGAATCTAATCTATCGTGAGAATAACATAAGTTTTTTAATGTTACTGAGAAGTAAAATTTTATAGAAAATGTGTGTGTGTGTTTGGGTGAATGTTGTCTATAGATATATGTGTGATGTTGTTTACTTGTAGCCATGGTAACCACCGCCCAGTCCATCCCGGCCCGGCCAGTCAGGAATATCACCAGAGCCGTGGACTCCAAAGTTGGCACCCTCGTTGTGGAGTGGGAGGTGGGAGTTGATGGCCATTTTATCTTCTTTTTTTAATATCCATGATGGTTTTGATTTACTATTCCAATTTTTAAAAAGAAAAAATGTAAAATTTAAATATTTTTTGTATACTTTGTGAAAAGTCTGTAATAAGCCTGTTTAGACAAAAATGTTTATATCAGTATTTTTGAAAATATAATTTTGTCAGTGGTTTTCATTTGAATAGTTGAATAAATTAATTCAAATCTTAATACATATTTTCCTGTTTGCTCACACAGGCATTTTGGTCGGTCTTCAAGTAAAATTAGAAAATAGTAGCTTAAGATACACCAAAACTGTGGAAGATAACCTGTAGATCATAAATCTTCTTTTTTTCTTTTTCCAGCCTTTACCAAGATGGGAGCAGCATGGTAACAACACAAAGTACAAGATTTACTACAGGAAAAACCAACAGGGCAAAGTCAGTGATCTAGACTGGTCTACGGTACGTACACTTTTTTTAAATCAGACATATTTCTGTGCATTAGAAAATGATTTCTATGGGAGACGAATCTTCCTTTTTTGACACTACCTGAATGTCTGTTTAAACTGACATACCCTTAGTAAAAAAATTAAGTCACTAAGAATATCCTCGTCATCTCACTTTTATTAATAAGATAATTGATTCACATTTGCAGGGTATTGTGGATGACCCTGGCCATCGCTTTGCGACCACGGTTGGCGTAGATAACACGTACACGCTGTACGACATCAAGATTCAGTCCATGAATGTCAAGGGCACATCCGACGCCCTCATCTCACCCATTGTCGAGATCAGGTCTGCTATGGGATGTAAGTGTACATTGACCACTAATATTTATTATTTATTATTCTCAGTGGCGGATCCAGAGCTATTTTCTGACAGTCTTCCAAAATATCTTTGTTGATCCATCATCCAATTTTGACCATCTCCCAACAGAAAAAATTAGATACCTGTCAATGTAAACTTGAAAGTCTGCATGACCGTCTTCTGGAAGACCCAGAAGACGGCCTAAATCTGCCCCTGATTCTTATAGTCTTTTTTATCAAACTCAAAGCACAAGGAAAGAAGAAAGGATGTCAGTCTTCAAATGATTTTTCATAGTTTTCCTTTTATTTCATTTCATATCATTCTTTTTTATTTTCCTGAAAAAGAGACTTTGTTACAACAACTTTGATTACAATCGATCTTGTCTTTCCTCTCTCACCTCAGTGCCAGTGGCCGTCCCAAAGGACATTGTGGCAGAGCAGTATAACGCCACAGCACTTGAGGTCACCTGGATACCTGTACAAAACACCTTTGTTAACCTTAAAGGTGTCCTTGCTGGATACAGGGTGAGTAGAAATTTAATAGTGAATATTTAATGTCACATATTTCATACACTTTACTCCATTTAATTACTGCAATCTGGGAAAGTTTTATCCTAGTTTTATGAGGTGAAGTTAGGTTTTAGGATATAAGGCTTTATCCCAGAGATTAGAGGATTAGAATAAATTAATGTATTTGGTACTCATTTTTATCAGATCAACTATTGGGTCCGTGGACGTGAGAACTCCCTGATGGCAGAGGTGGCCACCATACCAGGTGACGTGGACAGAGGTCTCATCGTTGGATTGTACCCCGACACCTACTACGAAGTGACTGTTATGGTCTACAATGAAGCAGGAAATGGAGAACCAAGTCAACCGTATCCTCAGAAGACACTGAGACAACGTAAGTTTGCTGGAATTACTAGAATGGTTCAAACTTTGGGTAATTGTAAATAATTCTTGTTAGTGAAAGCAATGTAAAGTTGGTGTCCTTGTTGACAGATAGCTTCCATCCTGTCCCTGGTATTTGTCAGCAGAGCTCAATATGCACTTGTCCACAGATGCAGGTTCTACCATGTTTTTTTAAATTTTTTAATAGCAGTTTTTTAAACAAATACTTAATGAAAGTAGAGGTCAGTTTGATCATTTGAAAAACCTAAAGGGCACCATGCATGCTGTAAGTGAGAGTTGTCTGATGAAAATATCCAGGCTCAGTAGATGTGAATATTATCTATGATTTTTCCAGCCCCCAAGGACTACCCCACAGAGGTGGAGCTACACAACGTGGACACTCACACCATCAAGGTCAGCTGGCGCGGAATCAGCACTGACCAGACCGAGGAGCCGCTACAGGGATACAAGGTGGGCTGAAGAGAATTTTTTTTCTTTTAATCAAGTCATATTCCTTACTTAATTACAGCGTATTAACTGTTTTGTGAACCATCTGAAAGTTTCAGTCTTCTTCCAATCAGGGTAGGCTGAAGAAAAACTAATTTTGAAAATCCATCAGCTTTTAAAATTTTTATTTTCTGTTGATTTTCTTTTAGGTTAAATACTGGCGCACAAGTGAGAAGATCATCGATGCCAAAGATTTTGATGCAGGCAAAGACACGTTTGCCACCATCTCTGATCTCTCAGCAGGAGAGAGTTACTATCTTCGTGTCTATGGCTACAGCAGAGGGGGGCAGGGCGCCATGAGTTCCCCCATGGTCATGTTTGTCATGGGTAAGAACTAGGTTCATGTTTGTTAGCAAGTTTGTCATGGTATATAGGAACAGTGCATGTAGTCTGTGGTTGAAGTTAAATATTTAGCAGTTAACTTGGTGGGCAGTCAATTTTGTAACTTAAATTATAAAAATTATTTGATTCTTGGTGTCCCACAATTTTTGTTTTGTTATTGATATTTATTCTGGATACTTAAATGATTTTTATCTCATCTTTATTTTGATTACATTTTATTCAATATTACAGCTAAATCGGGTTGCACATATACCCAAATCATCCCTGAGGCATCCTATGTAGAAAAGTGTGGCTCCTGTCAGCATCTCGCTTCTGTCTTACTACTGGTGACTGCTCTACTAGCACAGATACTGAAAACCATTTTATAAAAGGTAGGTTTTTAAATGTTTTTTTTTTTTTTTTACACAGAAATCCTTGATTCTATGAATTTACTATAGGTAAAAGTATTCTGCCAGCTGTCAGTGCATAACTCTTGGTACTTTTAATATTATAATTGATTTTAATTTGAAAAACATTGGTTACATATTCTTTTCAGACTTTTATTGATTAGTAAGCAAAAAAGGTTTATAAAAACCAATCATAATTAGCACTGTGTTTTAACTGTGATCTGAAAGAAAGAAATATATGTATAATTTTTATGTTTCAGAAAACCGCCATTGCTCCATGTAAATATCTGTTCTTGGGGACCATTCCATTACATAACTCCATCAAGTCTTTTTTCCTGCCATTCCTCAGATAATGTGGTCATGTGATAGACTAGTCATGTGACAACCAGAACATGTGATAGACTGGTCAGGTGACTTTCATATCACATGACTGTTGGACCAAGACAAGCTGTAAATATTCACAGGGGTTTTATATAATGAAAAATATTCTGTATATTAGGGACAATTTTTGCAAATAGAAATTTAATTGTAGATACATTTACTACTGCCTATTTTGTTGGAATGGAAAGAAGCCATTTTAGGCCTTTAGGTACAAATGTAGGTTTTGTAAGAGAAGTAAGAACCTCTCATTAATATCTCTCATGTGCATTTAAAAACTTAATTTTTGTACTTGCTTTACTGAGCTCTGGCAAATTGTGAAAGAAACTTGAGTATTCTCATGTTGTATACTTCCATCTGTATACTGCAACTGAAAATAGAATCTTACATTTTAAGCATGTACAGTTCTTTGCTTGATGTGCGTCTTAAACATACTGTATACCTTATATACAAGAGGAAAACAGCAAAATATATAGAGACCTTATAATGATGAATTTGTAAATTTGATGCTGTAGATTTATATTATCACAGCAGCTGATATCTTTTATTTGGTAGGGAACTTGTGTATCAAGTGTGAAATGTAAAATTAAAATAAGATATTCAAAATCATGCCCCTCATTAATAGCCTGTGAGTGCATGTGAGGATATCCATGTACCTATTTTTAAAAAATTGTTTTTATTTAGTGTACATACATGACTAAGTGATATGTATGAGAAGTTACACCCAGGTTAATGAATTAGTTGCTACAAGGTTTACAAGTAGAAGTTTTAGGTGTAACATAGTTTTATTCTGTAAAGATTGCATCAAAATGCAAGAACATGTTTTTGTACAAACTATTTAGTCTTAGATATTTACTTATATACATGAATAGGACTAGTTTTTGATAGCAGAGCTTTTATAACTTGTATATAATCCTGACTAAGAATTTGTTATCACAAAGAGAGGAGGAAATGAAGAAAGTGGTTAGATAAAAAATTACCCAAAAAAAATCTTCACTAAAAATTGCTCTTCATCTCACGTATAAAGGATGACTCTCATATTTAACACTTAAAGTATCAGACAATTTTTAGATTGTGTTAATATTAAGTTCAAGAGGTTATTTGCTCCATCAAAGTTCATATATTTGCTTTTTTATGTATTTTTTTTATTCTTAAAATTTTAATTTTAGTTTCTTTATTTTATTTTTTTTTTTTGAGAAGGGCAGCCCAAGAAGAAAAAAGCTGCTGCCAAAGAAAATATTCTTTTTTCACTTAGATACATAATGACATAGTGCAAGAGCCCAACTTGGTCTATTATAAAAAGTGTTTCTAGCTAGGCCACTTTTTTATTATTACTTCATCTGGAAAAATATACTTTCGTGTTATGGGGTGAACACTACACCTGTGAAGATCATGAAAGATAAACATTTCTTTAGCAATAATTGTTAACAAGATATAAACACTGATCTAGTGTTGTATCAAAAAGACGTCATCTCATGTTTGTATGTCTGAGAATAAATGAGGAAATCTTTTGAAAAGAATAATGTGTTTATTATTTTCTTTAAAGTTTAAAAATAACAGCTGGGGCACTGAAGGGGATGAAAGCTTTTCACTTTGGCTGGAAAGGCCTCATAAAACGAATTTTCCTGGGTTAAATGATAATTTTGCTATACATGCGAATGGTTAATAAATCATTTCCGAAATTCGATGTCAGTTGATTGTTTTTTTTTTTTTTTTTTTTTTTTTAATTTTATCCTCTATTCTGTTTGAGNAGAAAGAAAACGAATTTTGTAACAAAAATTCGTTTCCAGTACTGTATTACATCTCAGTACCTAATCTCTTATTGCATAATTCTTCAAATTATTACTGACAATGAAGAGTAAATTGTGCACATTTTTTATTGTCAGTGTATTGTTATCTTCGCAAGAAATCTCGGCTAAAATTTTTTAATGCGCAACACAAACACCGACAATATTATACGTGCGAATTTTCTCCATAGACATACTCCTTTGCAAACGATTGTTTTCGCGCGTCTGATCTCCTAGATCGCATAAGCAAAGCTCCAATGCAAGCACGTTTTCTATTGGTCAGCCAAGCTGAATTAACCAATCGATAACACGATAATGTTTCTGATGAACAAATTTTTCAAAATGGCGCGGGACAACAGCAACACCGCCACTGGCAAAGGAAGCGAAAAAGATTTGGTGAGATATCTTAGTATTGAAAGATTCGAAATTGCACACTCAGTCATAATTCTACCTTTTGCTTGCAATTAGCTAGCAGAAGATCCCCAACGCGTAGCACCCTGGGGGTCACAGTAGAAATGGGGAATCGAAATTTGGCGTCAAACTGCAACCATCATCGATCAAAGCCAAAAGATAATTCAGAAACCTGTAACGTTAAATACAACAGTGTGTGTTGCATGTGGTGCTGAAGCCAACTAACTTTAGCACTAAATGAAACCGTAGTAAATGTGCATAGTGGATACAAGGCAGTGTTTCATAATTTTTATGGGTTGATAAAACACAGTTGTTTGTATTATATCCAGTGCTTTGAAAATATCAGCAGAGAGAGTGATAGTATTTCAGTAATGTTTCTAATTCTTTTTAGGAGATGACTCTTATGATGATAGAGGAACTCACGGAATTTTTTGATACCCAGAATTCCCAAATGGACTCTGCTCTATTTCCCTCAGGCTACATGGGGTTGGATACAGGATATAAATCAATGATAAGGATGGATGGAGCTCCCATTCTTCCTCCAGTGGTAGGCACACCCCTATTATCCTGAGCCCAGGTTTACACTAATGGTCTTAACTTTATGACCAAAAATAATTTGGTCTGCTCAAATTCTCTATAAAGATGTTTTAGCCCACTAAAACAAAATAGCTGGATGTGTAAATGATTAGTCATCTTATGCTTTCGACTTATAAAATATTGGCAGTATTTCACTGAAGACTTCAAGTGGATTTCTACTGTAACACTAATCTAGACCAAGTCATCTACATGTGGGCAAAATCTTGATAATCTCAGAAGTCTCTTATATACTTGCTGATACTGTTTACAGATGACACATGAGAGAAGAGAGGAGATGCAGCAGTACAAGCGTCAGGCAGTTATAGCAGAAACCAGGCTGAAGAACAGAAGAAGAGAGAAACTGCTGGCCAAAGTCCAGTCCATTGTAGATGAGATTGAGGTAAGAGATCTGACATATGCTTACCTTACGGTAAAATATGTAAAGAATATGGATTTATAAACTAGTATCTATGTTAAGCTTTCATTGAAAGAAAGACTGCTTGTTGTGTTATTGGAAAATGAAGTGATTTTCACATGGTTTCTGATATAGAACAAAGCATATTTCAAAACATGTTGACAATGTTGAATTTAAAGTGTTCAATTTTACTTCGGCTTTTCAACTCAAATATACTGCACCCAATTTCCCATATAGTCATGATAAACACACTTGCACACTGTCACTGATGATATATTTTTCAATAATAATTTTAGACAAGAAGAACGCCATCCCCACAACAAGAATGTCTGCCAACTAACCAAGGTGTTATCACAGCCACTATGACCACTACGACCACTATTATGACCACATCTCCTACAACACAGCAGAGGTCTTCTACTTATGATAACCAGCCAGATGTGACAGACAGCACTGGCAGTGACAGACCAGTCACAGTGTCTGGTAGCTGTGCCAGCAGTGGAAGCAGTGTCAGTGAACTCAATAGGACAGTCATTGAAACCAGCACCTTGTTGAAGGAGAAGTCTAAAATAAACAGTGCTAGTGATACTGTAGAAAACACTACTCTAAACAACTCTAACAGTGAGAAAATCCAGACACTAGATGGTGCTGGTGGTGCTTTAGAAATGACAGGTGCTGTTGGATCTGACAATGTGAAAGACCAGAGCAGTAGCAGTGGTCATGATAGTGGCTTTGTCACAGGGTCTCTGGTGCCATGTTCAGACTATACAGACAGTCAGTTCCCTAACTCTGAACTGCCTAACTCTGATCTTCCTAACTCTGATCTGAGTGACCTGTTGAGTCGTGTTGTACTCAGTCCTACAGACGGAGAAACAGCAGACAAAGTGCCAAATGTGATGAAGCCAGGAGATCAGAAAACACCTGAAAAAGTAAATGAAGTTGGTCAGAGACCAGATGATGGCAAGGGAGGAAATGACCAGTGGCACAGTAATAGCAGTCCCAGAACAGAAAGTGTGTGTGACAGTGAGGCTGTGAGTTATATGGGAGAATACTGTGCTCTTCCCACCCCAGCACCAACCGGAACTGCTACTACTCTACCCAATAGTGGTGATCAGCAGTTACTGACACCAGATGTCTCTGTTATCCCATACGAGACCAACTCCGTGGTGATTAGCTCCTCAGTACCTTCTTCTAGTCAAAATCAACCTCTTCTGTCCATAACTCAAGCATCGATGGGATCTACTGCCAGTAAACCAGAGCAGTTGCTGTCACAAAAGTCTTTAAACCCAGACTCTGTTGTCACTGCCACTAACACTGCCAGTACTGATCTAAGACAATACATGCAAGGTTCACTAGACACCATGGCCAGCTCTCTCACACTGAAGGAAGAAGCTGTAGGTAGCACTGCTGGTTTGAAGAATCTAAGCCAGGAAAAGATAAGCCCTGTGTCTAATTTAGAGACTAAATCTACCCCAGGTCAGGGACACGTGCGCAAGTCTTCGTACACTCTGGAGCACCCGTCCCCTGCACTGCTGATGGCTCATGGTCAGATGAAGACTAATACTGGGGTAGCTGGCACTGATAGCAGTAAGTGGAACTTGGGTGTCAAATATTTTAAGTGTGTGTTACTTTATTTGTGTGATTCAGCCAATTGTAGTCTTATACAAATAGGAAATGGAAAATTAAATCACACTCCAGACTCCAGCATGCAGGTGGTATGAGCTACAGTGTTTAGTCTGTCTCTGCTAGACTTAAGTTTACTGGAGAAGTATATGTGCGATAGAGTGGTACCCTTAGTGAAACTGAAACTGACATTAATCTTACTTAAATTATCAAAATAACTTTGCAGGTTTTGAACCCTCAGGTAGAGACAAGCCCAGCACAGTACAGAGGAAACTGAACTATGAAGAAGAAGAGCTGGTCACCCCCAGGGACAGCCTGGACAGACACAGCTCCAGTAGGAAGGACATACAGGATTCCGAGGCCGAGGGGAAGAGAGAGCACCTGCAGAGATACCTGGCTCAGATCAGTGCACAGCCCACTGTGTCACTCCCTGTGGACCAGTCTGTAGTGGTAAGTTATGAGTGAGAGAGAGAGAGTGTGTGTGGCTCAAATCAGTGCACAGCCCACGGTATCACTCCCTGTGGACCAGTCGGTAGTGGTAAGTGGAGAGAGGGAGTGGCTCAGATCAGTGCACAGCCCACTGTGTCACTCCCTGGGGACCAGTCTGTAGTGGTAAGTTATGAGAGAGAGAGAGAGAGAGAGAGAGAGAGTGTGTGGCTCAAATCAGTGCACAGCCCACGGTATCACTCCCTGTGGACCAGTCGGTAGTGGTAAGTGGAGAGAGAGAGTGGCTCAGATCAGTGCACAGCCCACTTTGTCACCCCCTGGAGACCACTCTGTGGTGGTAAGTGATGGGAGAGAGGGTGCGGTAGCTGGTAGCTCAGGTCTGGAGATTATCAAACTATTTACTAGTAGAAGGGTCACATGTTCACTGGGCTGTCCTAAGGACAACTAAGCCTTTCTAGTGGTACATATATCTGATATTATATATTATATTCCAGCCCAGTGTATCACAGCCCCCCAAGGACAGCCCAGGGTTCCTGTTCAGCACCAGCTCTATGTCAGGTCTCAGTGGGGGCAGTGAGGAGGTGTTAAAGAACCAGGCCAGACAGTTTGAACAGCTCAGACAACAGCTGGTGGGACAACAGAAGTCTCAGGTAATAGAGGGGTTCTCTAATTCTCTAGTTATATCTGATGTTATATATTATATTGTTAAAGAACCAGGCCAGGCAGTTTGAACAACTCAGACAACAGCTGGTGGGACAACAGAAGTCTCAGGTAATAGAGGAGTTTTCTAATCCTCCAGTTATATCTGATGTTATTACCTCTGCCAGGGAGGTTATGTTTTCTCCCCTGTTTGCCTGTTTGTTTGTCTGTCACCAACATAACTCAAAAAGTTATGGACCGATTTTGATGAAATTTTCAGGGTAGGTCAGAAATAGGTCAACTTAGAAGTGATTAGTTAATGTTGGTGATCTGGATCAATAATCAATCAATAATAATAATAAAAATTGCTGCCTTGGCGGAGGTCTGCGCTCTCGGAGTGCTTTTCTAGTATATTATATATTCTATTGTCTGGTAATATCAGTCTAGTGATAGCCATCAGTTCAAGGCCATTGGTATTAGAATTGGTTTCAAACCAGAAGAAAAAGAATTAAAATTTTTGTTTGAAGGTTGGACAAAAGTAGATCTTTGAAGAGGTGTTTTGAAGGACTTGTATGATTAAATGGGTGCTTGTCAAATAGATTTTAAAGGTTACATATCTAACATTCTCATTGTGAAAGACTTCTTAATTTTTTTAATTCAAAATTCAGAAACTAAACTTAAATTGATGGTTTCAAAACTAATTTATTTCTCATCAGCTTGCGGCTCTGCTTCTCCAGCAACAGAGGGAGCAGATGCTGCTACAGCAGGAGTTGGTGGAGCAAGAACAGAGGTTCCAGCTTGCTAAGCAACAGTTGCTACAGCAACAGGGGAGACAGATGGAGAGGGCCAATGCTGAGCAGTGGCTGAAACAGGTTGATTACGATTGCATCTTGTATACCAAAATCCATCAACATATTATGTGTTAAAAAAATAAAATACTGGAATTCATTTTGTCTAGTTGATGGTGTTCTTCTCACAGATTTCAGTTGTCCAACTCAGAATACAGATGAACTATTCTCAGTGAACAAGACATAAGTTCTCAAGTTCAGTATGAGATTTTAAATAACTTCTTCTAATATGTGAAAATATGCCTGGGTGCCGAAGTTAAACATAAATAGTATTTTAAGTTTCATCACTTCTCACTTTGCAGGTCAACCAACAACAGAGTCCACATGTCCAGCAGATGTCCAATCCGTCCACTCCCCAGGGCTGTCACATAACTGACCACCACCTCACTAGGTCTGGGGGACATGACAGTGACGATATAGCCCTGGACCAGGTCCATATTGTCAACAGACCTGGACATCAGCTTCCCAGTGGTCAGTTACCTAGTGGTCAGTTTTATAGCAGTCAGTCACTGCCCAGTGGCCAGTTACGGCAGAGTGGGCCATCGTCAAAGGAAGCATCCCCAAATTGGCAGAGTCAGAAGGTTGTGTCACCTAGGCAGAGGCTGGGAGAGAAAAGACACAATGTGGTAAGTGGAGGACAGGCTGGCAGGGAATGAGGACATTTGTGGGCTCATTTACATAGTGCTGACATCTGGTGGTTGTATACACCTTTACACAAACATAGTCACATGTACACACACTATTACTGAGAATAAGACCAGATACTCACGGTTGTAGTTGTCATGTGAAAAAAATCAGTTTATTGATTTAAAATATCTGAAGTTAAATGTACAATTGTGTAATTGTTTTCATTTTTAAACATTTCATAAATATCTATGAGGCTTCTAATACAATGTAAGTAAAAAAAGAATAGCCATGGCAAGCATATATTTTGGAGGTGGTAATAGTAGAGTTAACCTGTAATAATAGGTTGCTCTAACTTGAGGAATGAACCAAGGTAAACTCACTGCTGTATTCTGGCTTCAGGCTATCACTCCGGCCTTGGAGAGAAAGTTCTGTATGCTGTCAGCAGCTGTAAAGGGTTACCTTACCAGAAGATTGTACAGGACAGAGAAAGTCCAGGCTATTATACAGACTATTAAGGTAAGTTTACGTGGGCTGCTCTCAAACAGTCAAAACTTCTGGGGTTTTACAGACCAATCCCCATCCCAGCTTTCTGTTGGATGAAACAAATGATGGAGTGAAGTTTCCGAGAGCTTTTCTTTCTCTCACTGAATGTGTGTTTTATTGAAAGATCATCATACTCAGATCTAGAAGAGCCGAGTGCTAGCTAGGCTGTGACTTTAACATGGCGGACCTACATGAAAGGAAGACCGCTTAATCCTGTAATGGTCTCTCCTCCTCTCACACACCTCCCCACGTTCCTGCAGGGGCACAGTAATTAAATCTCGGCTCAATTCAACCGTGTGAGAGGANCAGAAGAAGAAAAGACTGAGTGCGGCCACACAGAAAGCCCTGGAGAGAAAGAAGAAAGCACAGTATCCTTTAGTAACTTTAAATTAAGGGCAGAATATTATCTGTATTCATGAAGAACATGAAGAAAAATATGTGCTGAAAAATAAAATTCATGAAAAGGGTACAGATTTCGTTGAAGAATGGTGTGAAGTATGCTGACAGTCAATGAAAAGGCATCATTTTTTTTTTATCAAATAATATTTTAAGTTCCTTTGGAACATTAAGAAAGTAACAGCTTTCGTGTGAAATATGACTCATTATTCAGTCAAATAAGGTGACTCTCTTAAGACCAAACAAGTGCATTTGTACTGTTTTATATGGTTGGAATTGATTCGCAGTAAAAAAGTACAAGAAAGTTTTCTGATGCATTTTCATTGACTGTCAGTATATATGGTGAATTTTTGCACATGTAATATGATAATAGTAAGATAATTTAAAAGGGAGACACTTTCATAACAATGCCAATCTTTCAGAAAATGTATTATTATTTTAAAAATCCTCAACCCTGATCTAGACTAGCAGAGTCCGCAGTGTTTGGTCATTCTATCCGTCCCAAGACGTCCCCAGAGACCAGCAGTCCCAAGGTGGCCAGGACTGACCTCAGGTAGGAAGATAGGGGGGAAGTTTTTTAATATACTTTTTTTTATAAAAATGTGTTTTTTTAGATCTAAGTTTTTTTTATTTAATGTTTGTTATATAAAAAGGTGTTCTGATTGTGGTATGTCAGGAGAATAAGCATTTTATATTGTCTATTTTACTTTTTGGACGGTTTTGGTGAGCTTGAGTAATTCCAGTTAGAATTTTGCTTTTATATATTTCAATGAGCATTTATGTGTTATAAATCTTAACCTGGATTAACAGAAAGCCAGGATATGAGTGTTCTGTTAATTGGTATTGATATCTTACAGTGGTCCTCTCCGCAGACAATACCAGTCTCTGTTCTCTAAGGCTCTTAAACCAACACATGGAAACCTGTCACCTATCAAACCAGTGTCTGACAAGGAGAACAGGTATGGCTATACTGTGTTTGTTTGTGTTTGTGTGTGCCTAAGTGTGTGTCTGTGAAAGTCACTTCTCTTTGTTCAATTTTTCAGATTCTGTCAGATATATTTATACAAGTTTTATTGGTTTTAAAAAATGTTGTTGTTTTTTTCATTTATGTCACTTTTTTCCAGGTTGAAAGTTGCTCCCAAGGAAGGAACTGGGAAAATTAATGCATTTTCTGTAACAGGTAACTTAGAGTTTGTATCCACCTGTTTAGGCTTCTTGTCTTTTCTAAGACCACCACAACTTGTCTTCAAATGCTGTTTTTAATGTCAGACTTTGATAGAAATATTCATTGTTTTATAATTTAACTTAAATATTATATCTCCATATTTTGATGTTTGTTGTTGTCTTTCCAGGAGGAGGAGCCCAGAAGTCAGCCAGACGGAATCTACAGTCTGCTCTTGGAAGTCCTAAGAGGAAAACGGCCGTCAAATCTACTACGAAGCCAAAACTGAATAATGTGTCTAGAGCAGCATGGAGATAGCAGAAATAAGACACTTGCCAAATACATGACAATGTACAGTTCCTGTTTTACTGTATTTGATGGAATTTTGAAAATTTTACTTAAAATTTTTTGGGGCCCAAAGTTGACGGGATCAGTGTGACTCTGAGACTGTAGACTGCTGGTAGAGTCCACTCTGAGCTGCTTTCAAAACAGCAACTGGCTTAATAATCTCAAGCATTTTCCCATTTGATGTAAAGCAAGTGGGTTAGAAGGTACCACAGAATGTTTTCTTATGGGTGTGTAGTTCATCTATGTTGCAGAATCTTTTTATAACCTTTGGAGAAAGATTCCAAAGTTAAATATTTCGAAATCTTGACACCGTTTTCAGTTTTTGATATTTTCAGCCTTGTTGTTTTGCCATACACTTATTAGGCTTCTTGCAGCGCTTAATCTCTAAAGACAGTGATTATATATATATGCCAATATATAATTGTATGTATACTTTTCTCATATTTACATATGACTGTGATAAACTGCTTATTTACATTTTTTATCGAGAAATTGGGTTCTTGTCTTGATTGAAATAAAAATGTGAAAAAGACCCAACCGTTGTTTATGGTTTTGATAAATCTGCTTCATTTCTTCTTTGGTTGTGAAATAATTCTAATGAATACAACACTGCACCTAAAAGAATTGGGTCGTACAATGCAATTTTTCAATCATTAAATTTGTAGTTTTGTGCTGATGTAAACCGCCAGGGCACGTGGCGACAAAATATCTGGCTCGAGACAACTAGATGAACAGTCTTCCATCATATCACTTATATCGTCCGTCACCACTTTGGCACGTTATTCATATTCTTGAATGTTATTAAAATATACGGCCTATCTGTAGTAATGTCCACCCAAACACTGTCAGCGTCTTCTCTGAAGTGCGCAATCAACTCTAGCGCTGCGGATCGTACAGTGTATATCTGGCAAGCAAGATCTGCGAAATTGTTTGGGTTATTTTCTTATGTAATGATTGCCAATATTTTACAGGATAAAGAATTGAAAAGCAATTTTACTAGAGCCAAATGATGTTTTCAAATGAGCGTTTGCTTGTTGGGTTTGTTACTATTTAACTTTCAATTCGTTTACAATACAATAACAATACACTATTGAAAGCGTTTTGTGCCAGACGACTAAGCGACAATGAGAAACAAAACTTGTTTGTTAAGAAATAGTAACATATGATCAAAAGCACATGGGTATCTCTTTCATAAAAAAAATAATAATACTTCAAATGTATAAACAATGCACTGTCCTTCTCTTCACGGCAAATGTGTCTTTACTGTGGCGATTTCATTAATGCTATTTTTCATTATTTTTTATTTGACCTTTTCAAAAGTCATTATAACGGATATGTTCAGGGTAAGGCAGTTTCCTGATAAATGTTAACTGAACATTTAACTATTGTCCCCGGCTGCAGTTCAACCACAATGAACGGCTTTGTCGCCAAAACAAACTCAAACAAGATTATTTACCTTTAGTGGGGTGTCATAAAGACAAGTTTACCAACAGAGGCGCGAGCTGTGAGCGAGCAGGGTATCATGACATTGTGGCTGGGTCAGTGCCATTAGCTGACCAGACGCTGCTTAACAACACTGACACAGCGAAAAATTAAGTCCTGAATAAAAGGTAATTATGCCGATGCTTGTGCATTTTAAAGAGATTTGCTTACCGTTATTTCAAATACCAATACTTTAAATACATTTCACAGGGTCAATATCATTTTACAAGCCACAGTGTCACTTGATCGTAACATCATTTTGATTTTTTTCACAAATCCGTACTTTGGTCAAAAATGAAAATTATTCCTAGAAATGCACAAGATGCCTCTAGGGTGTATGCAATAGCTCCTGCGTGAATAAGGAATGTTCTTGTAAAATAACACTCACATGACATACAGGTGACTTTAATACTTTATGGAAAACTGGTACGCGTGATTGTAGATCCATGAAGTGTTCTCTAGTTGTCTGGAAGTATATACGTACTTACGCGCTCGCGCTACCGTCACCCGGTCACACACGCACACGCACGCGCGCACACACACACGCACACACGTGACGGGGCGCAGGCACAAAGCGACTGGTGTCACTCAGGTATTCAGGTGTGTCGTATCTACAGGTGAGAAAGGTGAATGAAATACGTCGTAATTTTAATGGAACCGCTGTCATTGTTCTGTCGTTATTTACTATTTTGCTCCTTGGAGGACATTAACAACGGACTCATTGGCCTATGTCAATTGAAAAGAGAAAAAAATAACGCCATTTGCTAGTAAACACCACAATTTCAATAGACTATAGTTTTTATTCATTTAATTTTCAGTTGTCTGGTTAAGAGAACAAGGTTACTCAAAGGCCTTGGGCACTTTTTGGGTTCGAGGTGAAAGAAACTGTTGCTCTCTGTATTAGCCCTGTGAACGCCTTGGGCATTTTTAGTTTCGAAGTGAAAGAAACTGCTGCTCTCTGTACTAGGCCGGTGAACGCCCTGGAGAAGACTAATTTCCCACTTCAGTGTGACACGCACACCAAGCACGGGGTCAAAGTATTGGGTTAAAACGTGAGCAAAGGACGTGCTTCTCGCTTAAGTGCACTTGACGACTAACTGGTGCAGAAAAGACTCGGTGGCTTCAGTGTTGGCGGTAGTGTGACCGGGATGGCGTCGTCTTGGAAAGTGAAATGGCTACTTGGCTTTTGATACCCCACCGGGTAAGTTTATCTCACTTTGTTCAAGTTAAGGTAAATTTAAAATGACTATCTGTCGTTTAAAATTGGTTCTTGGCCAGTGATTGAAATTTTATTATGAAAGTATCAGATGTTATGGTAAAATGCAGTACTGTTCTAGGTGTTTTTAAGCACAGAAAAAATCTTACAATAATTCCAATGTTTTTTTTTTTTTTTTTTTTTTGAATTATTTTTGTAAAGGTTTTGTATTTATTTGATCAGCATCTTGTGTCAATCTACGATGACTTTGTTTGTGAAAGGGATAGGTTGGCCACATTATTTCTCCCCCTCTTAAACCCTGTACCTTACAAAAACTTTCAAACACAACTTTACAGTAACTTTAATTTCGTCGATACTCTAGCGCTACCTGAGCTATTGCAACACTTTGATCGCCGTCAGGTTACTGCTTGAAAATCAGACAAATTGTCTTCCGATTTATTTCTCATTTGTTGATGTCTCTCTCGTTTCCATTTTCGTGGTAAAACAACAGAAAAACAAAATACAAAAGAAAAAAAATAGAGTTCAAAGCTCATACACCAATTTTCAAATGTATTGAGGTGACAAGAAATAAGATCGAGACCCCCTGTATACAATAGACTAGCTGAACATGTCCAGTGATACGTTATATATTACAGGGATTTTTATTCATTCTCTTGTATGAAAATTGATAAATTGTTTTATCACAAAATGGAAAAAATATTATAGGTGTAAATTTGGGCACCTGTAAGAAAACTATTGTAATAAGATCTAATCTGTTCAAGGTATTTTCACAAAGCACTGCAAGGTGTTGCTGTACAGGTCAGGTCAACATGGGGTCCTTTTATAAGGAGCTATCATGATTTGTGAACTTAAACCGTTAATGCAAAATCAACCTATTTTTCAGCAGTTTCAGGGAAGTTAAACCGACAGCGAAATATCTGAACTAAGTTTGGGTTTTGGAGCACTATCTCGACCATGGCACTGTACAGTACTAGTTGGACGGTCAAGCTTGGTCTTGGCCTTGTGATCTTGGCCTCACTGACCACGGTGACCTTGACAAGTAAGTTGGATTTTTTTATCGCTGTCTAACTTTATGTCTAGTTTTTTGTTCTCCCCCCCCCCTCTCTCTCTCTCTCTCTCTCTCTCTCTCTCTCTCTCTCTCTCTCTCTGACGCTTACGCAAGCACGGAGTATAGTCTACAGAGTCGATTAAAAGACAGAAATAATTTTAAGAAATCAAATAAAAACTTAATGCTGGACTCTTGTAAAATTAAATTAATTCTGAGAAATTGAGGATTCCTCACTTCAAATGAGAGTTCATTATTTAAGAATAAAACCAATAGCAGTAATATCCCCACAAAAAGCCCCATAAAATGGCGTCACAACCCAATACACAGAATGCTAAAAATTCGACTTAAAGTTATCAAACAAAATTGAATGACAAGTTTACCAAGTAATATAAGAGAAATGCCAGGATTATTTAAATAGCTCAATAATCTTAAATCGGGTATGGATATTCGGGAAAATAGGCCAATTTGTGCTTTTCTTCAAATGCTGTGTAGATATTTTATCCAAGTCTAAGTAATCAGTCAGTAAATAAATCTTGATATATTACTTAACAGCGATCGAGGATTATTCCTTTCTCAAACCGTGCCAATATGTGGTTTCCCTTATGTTTAGATATTTTATCAACGTCGTTAACTGGGTCTTAGTAATCAGTAAGCAAAAAATCTTTATTTAACAGCAATAGAGGATTGTTCCTTTTTCCAACTCGTTTAAATATAGACTTATACCCGATTTCCTTCATTACATTTTATTAAGGAATACCTACGGATGCGCATTAATTTTTCTGTTCATCTTTTTTTTATCAAAACATTATTTCTATACAGCTAACCTGCCGTGATGTTGTCAATATTTTGTTAGGAACCGGTAATAGTGGAACCACAGAGTAAAGTCTACCGGGGATGGTTGTTGACAATAATATTGATTCGTAGCCTGGGGAGGTTCATAATAAACCTTCGGGTATAAATCGGTCTTGTGTGACCTCGGTCTGCTTTGTAAACTAATACGGCCTTCAGAGTCAACACAGACCGCGCGGTGATGGTTTGATTTGAGAGACACGAATTATAAAAAAAACATTTTGTAGAGTTTTTGTCGTGCAACACAAAGCTCTGCTGATTTTGAGTGGATTTGAACTGGCTTATTTCGTTTTCATAGCCTTCTTGTCTCGCGTGTCACAAATATTATCGTTGTAAACGCAGCCTAGATTAAACATTATGAACGCTATATATACCGTGACAGGCTGCCTTTATAAAATATTGACCTCGTCATTTCGACAAAAAATTTTATTCTTATTCAGTCTTGGTGATATTCGGGTCAAAGTTATACTGTCATAGTCTAGGTTTGACGAAAGCTTTTTAATATTAAGACGCACGCGAAGCGTTTTTTTTTTTTTTTTTTTTAGGTAATCGGATACTCATCCTGCTTGATGTATTGGTCTTGATCTCGTGTGTTGATTGACGGAGGCGCCCTAACCCTTGAGTGCACGTGACTGACGTCTGCAACGTCATTGTAGCGTTACTTTAAAATACCTGAAAAAATGTTGCCGCGTTTTAACTCCTAAGGTTATCTCTGTTTGTGTTGACAAATCTGTTCCACCCATCAACCTGTACATCAAATACAACTGACAATTAAAAATTAAAATTAAATGATATAAAGATTAAGTTGAGTTAACTTGGTTTGGCCTTAAGATGACTATTAAATAGTCCTTAATGACGGTTCAAACTAATACACGTCACCGCGTCATCGTAACTATATACTTAAGAAAACAAATGCCAAGTGCAATTTTTTTTAAAAAGTCAAAGACAAACTTAAAGATCAAAGAGGCAGAAGTACCTCACGTAATCGGGTATTAAGCCCACACCATACAAAGACCTGCACAGACGCTGACGCACTTATTTTCATAGGCTTCCCTGTATCTCTTTATTAAATAAAAGCGATATAAAGGGATTGGCTAAGCTACGGGCTCTTCATGTCACTTCTCAGGTACAATTTCATGCCACACGTGAAATGTGAGAAACAATGAAGGATCTTTCTTTATTCATTCAATCGATTGTCTATTTATTTATCTTTTTGACGGTTTAATCTCTTTATTATTAATTTTATGTATTGCCCTTTTCGTTTATATAATTGATTATATATAATCTAAAAGCCAAATTGGGTTAATGTATTTAAATATTTATTTCACCTTACAAAAATACGAGTTGCTCCGCATTCTGTGACCCTTACTCTCTGTGTCTACCTATGCCTTTTCAATACGGGCATGCTTGGGTTTATAAACGAATTTTTTCATCAATCATTTCTCACATCTCTTTCTTTTTACTCGATTCATGCATTGCCATTACTATCATTACTATTATCACTACCATATTGCTATGGTTGTATTCAATCCTCACTAATCCCATCGTTTCAGTCTTAAAAAATCCCCTGAACGCTGCAACACCTGTTTGAAAACAGATAGGTTTAAGATGAATCTGCAAACAAATTATCTGTAATTTTTTTTCTAAAAGTAATCGTATCATCTTTTATTTTAAAATTTTGTTTTAGGTAAGTAAATAAGAGACAATTGTATTATTATCATCATCACCATCATCATCACCATCATCATCATCATTATTATTATTATTATTATTATTATTATTATTATTATTATTATTATTATTCCAGCGACATGTTCCACCCCTCTCGGCATCTCCAATGGCTTTATCATCACCACAGGACCTTACGTGAATGGTACTACGGTGATGTATGGCTGTATGACTGGGTTTAGGATGTCTGGTACACCGTCACAGCTCTGTAACTCCTCCCTGGAGTGGGAGGGGCTACCCCCTAACTGTACCCAGCCATCTGAACCGACGGAAACCGTCACCAACAGTACGTTTCTGGTCAACTGTCTTCGACTTTGGCTTCGATGCATTTAATATGGACGTTGAGTCGATTTTTATTCACTTATTTTTAAAAAATGAAATCTCCCTAATTTCTGGTTATGAACATTTAAATGCGGTTTAGGCCTATCAAAATGAAATTTCGAGTGGCATTACTTACATTAATGCAATAGAAGCGCAGTTTGCAATGGGTTTCTAAATTAGAAATTAGAAAATAGTTTATCTTACTTGATTGTTTTAATCTTTTCTTCTAATCTTGTCGTTTCAGTTGTCCCGTATTGGGTATTTCTAGTCGCAGCTTGCCTCATACTGCTTTGTCTTATATTTATCGTCATTGTGTCGTGTCTGTATTGTGTATTTAAACGGTAAGTCGAATTTAAAATAGTGCTCTGAATTCTAAAACATAGGTACATATGCTATGATAAAGCAAGAGAAGGGATGAAGTAAAATTTGAAGCCTTATTAATTACAAATTAAAGTAGGAAGAGTGAAGAATTTTTCATCAACTACTTCCCTTTCATCGCATTCTTTGGTTCCAATATAAGTTTAGGCTTTATTTGAATTTTCGATTTCTATGCCATATGTTTTTTGATAAACGAATATGATAAAAGCAAGGCATTAACCAATGATCATTTCAGTCTTTTTACTGTTTTAAAGAGTAAAATGCATCTTTTAATTTAAGCCCTTTAAATCCGCTTTTTTAAATTACTTATTTTATCATTTCAGGCGGTCGCATGGAGAAAACCAAGTCAGGTCGTCCCCACTACCGACCATTGTGACGCCACGCGAGGAAAAGGTCCATTTTGCCGGGGATCTATATTCAAACGATGGGGTAAGGACGTACAACTAATGCACGGTACAACAGGAGAGTGGCCAATCTCCATATCTCAATGTCAATTATTATTAATGTTGTATAAAAAAGCCATTCTTTTAATTTGATTGTTTACGTTTTCATTCACAAGTGGTCCTTTTAGAAATTATGAAAACAAATTATCGAATTAAATTTCTGCTTGAATGGAAGAAATATTTGTCATATTTATTTATTGCAGGTGCTATACGTTAAGAGTTATCATTCGTCCGGGCCGGAAAGTACGCAATACATGAAGGGAAATACGACGCTTGCCACTGAAGACGGAGGCTGGATTACAGTGGTGACAGACGATTTTCTTCCCAAGAATGGACGCCTACCTTGCACGTGCAGCGCGCACTGGCAAAAACACTATCATTTCCGGCGTTTTACAGAGACGAAGGATATCTCCACAATGACCGACTTTAAGAAAAACAATACAACGCTTGAGGCGGATGCTACCAGTCCTAGAACGTCGACGGATTCTGGTGAAAATAAGTTTAGGAAAATAGCTGAGATGGTGGGCACCAAAGCCACCATTGCCGAGGCGTTAGGAAGAAACACACAACTGGCGGTGAAATACAAACAACCGGCTAAAAAGTTAGAAAATAAATGGCTGCCGCATTCACATAACGTGAGATATGAAAACCAAAGTACGAAATGACCGCTGCTCAATTTTTTAAAAAATATATTTAATATCAAAAAGAAACAATAAAAATGCACATGTCTACGGAAGAAGGGCGTGATATAACTTCATGCTACTTTAGTGACATTAGCCTATATTCTGTGCATGCTGCCACAATTGTGGTGTTTCTTATTTGCCTTTATTTGCCTGTCTCGTCTTTTTGAATTTATTTAATTTGCATGATAGAACGCCTTATATTCTTGTAGAAATGCATGCATGACAATCGACACTAATTGGCTCCAAATGCCATTGTTTCATTGTGTTCACTTTCATATGAATTCCTTCATTTACTATGGGTATTGTAAGAAATTTCACATTGCTGGTAATAGAAGGTGAACAATTTTATAATTATTTCCAAATTTTGATTATGCTCAGACACGCGTGTTAATCTTAAGCCGATTCTGTCTAGCCTGTTTGTTGCAATGTTGGTGCTTTTTTGCCTTATTGTGAATAAATGGATTATATTTTCCTACACAATTTACGGTTTAATATCTTTTTATTGAACTACATACATAGCCCTTATAAAATCCCTACCTCACTGTACAGGGCCTCAGCCAAGACCAATGTAAAACCACCTGTTTAATAATCCAGTAGCCATTATGTCTTTAAAATTTAACGTTATCCCCCTGTGGCCTTGTAACTTCATCCTTAGGCTGAAAAGAGTTACATTAAAGCGTTGTATTCAGTAACGCTGTATGTAAAATTACAACACAAATAACTTTATTCAACTGGTATCAGTTTTCGGCGAGGCTTTATTGAACATGTCAAAATTCAAAAGTTTCTTAAAATCACTGCAACTTTAACAGTGCATTGATGTAATGAAGCGCTGATTGCTGGCGTACGATGTTGCGTGATAGATTATTCAGTGATCAAAGGTTAAACCTTTAACTGTAAGTTGATTTCGATTTGATAATACAGAATTTAAAGAAACATGCAAGCTCCATTGTCTTCGTCGACTTTTTCAATGTATTGCAAGCGTTGCTAAAGCTGAACAACACAAATCGTTTTGACAAAAAGCTACGACGTTCCTTCTTCTGGGGTAATGTGCCGGGTTTATGGGCTGATAAAAATGGCAAAAGTTCAACCATGTCGATGTAAAAACCTTCAACTGGGTTCCCATACCTAGATCGATCTAACAGGATCGGTCCATCTCCAAGTGGTTTCTCGCTAAATTGCTTTCAACTTAAGCGGCTTAGATGTCTGGCACGCCTACTAAAGGTGCTAAACGATTGTTAATTTCCCCCTAACAGCTTCTATAGGCGTGTCAGACATGTAAGCCTCTTAATTTGATTGCAATTTAGCGAGAATCCCCTTGGAGATAGATCGATCCACAGTTAGTTCGATAGGGGCTGGGAATGGTCCCAGAACTCTAATAACGCCCGTATTAAAACCCACGTTAAAATGCCATCGAATTTGAAATGCATTGTACTTAATGCCTCAATATTTAAACGCTGTGATAGGATTTACTTTTCAAACGGCTGTGGTGTTGTAATGCTATCCCTCTGCAAATACGTCTATTGCACAACTATTATTGGTAGATTTACAGAAGTTATTTGATCATCTTTACAAAGTTTTGACGACGAAGATTAAAAGCCGTTTACTCATTTAAAGCGTCATCAATGTCAATTTGTTCAAATTATCACGAAATATTTATCCAAAAATAAGGACCACTTTATCCTACAATTTGCAATAACATTGTGATGGCCTTTGAACAAAGGTTAGATTGGTGTGTGCCTGCTTTTTGACAAATGGTAGATCTGAGAAGAGTTTTGAGAGGGATTACGAAGGAAAAAGATAGGAATAAGAGGTCTTATGACGGCTGTGACACCGGAATCCGCAATATTGAAATCTAACATGAACTACGCCCTTTAGTACACACATTATTGCAAATAAAATCCGTATTTAATATTATCCTTGTGTTAAATATTTCATTAAAGTTCTTAAGTTGCCAAAAGCAAGTCAATTCAGTTTCAAAACTCCCTTGCATGTTGACAGAGGACAGAGGCAATACATTATGCCCGTCACGTAACCCCAAGATTGTCTTAATCTTACGGGTTACGACCGTTAAATTAAAGAAACGCACCGAGTCTATGAAAGTGTCCATTATACCGGCTGGTATATTTCTTCTAAATTTTAAACGCTAAAAGGACAAACAGCGTACTGCTGTGACATTTGACCCATCGAGCCTTGACCCTACCACGGCCATGTCCCGGGTTTAAGTCCATAAACATTTTTCATACGTTGGTTTCAAATTTCCAACCCCATTGTTTCCCAAATAAAACAGATTAGTTTAACAAATAAAGCGTTGCGATTTTTTATGCGCGGTAAATACACTGAACTGTTGCCGAAACCAAATTGAGCGCATGATAGAGCCTAGGGTATCAGGTGTGTGTATACCCGTTTCTATAAACATTTCTATTCACGTGGAGTGTGTTGTCATTTGTTTGCCTGTGACCTCTGACCCCTGAAGAGGCTAAGTAAATCAAACACACTGCATGCTGTAGTTGACTGGTACCTTACCTGTCTATTCCCGCTGGCCGACGAGAAACAAGATGGTGGTCTTCTGAATACATGTATTAACCGGGTAGATACATTGAATATTTTGAGACTTGGTATGTCTAAAGGTATTTCTAATTTCTACGTTTTATCCCATAAAAGAAAAAGGTTGAATCCAATTGATTTATTCTGTCTATTCCTTTCTTTCTCACTCGCTCTTCGTTTTTTTTTTCAATGAAATCTGTAATCCGACAGGCGATGTTTTAGTCAAAGCAGTATAGGGGTCTGCTTGAAATATCCGATCAGTCAAAGACCCAATAACACGCCCGTGAAGTGAAATTTTTCATAGGAAGATAGTAATGAAAGTCAGGAACTTTGTGGCAAGTGGTCTCTCTCTGTTAGATAATGTAATAGATGTATTTTCAAGCTTCCAAATGCAGCTTGTAAAAATGCGAATCTTTGATAGGTTTTAGAATGTGAATTCACTTCCTTTCAGGTATTTTTTTTAATTTTTGATTAACATGACAAACATAGACACTGCTAATCTTGAATTTGAAATCGGTAGCCACGGATTTTGACAAGAGCAGTTTCTTAAGTCGGATACTACATATCCTTCATGTAGTGATTTATGATTGAAATTTTCTTTCATTTCATTTTTGTGATATTTTCCTTTTACAGCTACAAAAATGACTACATGGCTATGTGCCTGTGTCCTTTGCGCTTGCGCACTTGGGTGGCACGTCACAGGTAAGTGTTAACTGGTGTGGCAAGATCAGACGCTGGTAGAAAACTATTTATGCTAAAACAATCTGTACTTAACGTACACGGACAGGGGGATTCTTTAATCCGACTCCTACAATATTTTGGTCCTTTCCCTCCTTTTTTATACCTCCGCATTTTCAATGAATGTTAACTCTCACGATCTTTTTCCAATTTTAACAACATTGTTTGAGTTAATACGTGTACATCTAAAGTTTTTAACACTGCAATACATGATTACGTTTTTTCTCATAGCAAATATTATATCGTTTTAAACAGCTAGAAAAATCCAACATTTTGTTTTATTATTTCTGTATTTCAGACGCCGCCTGCCCCGACCCCGAAAATGTCACCAACGCCATCATTGTGACAACTGGTCCGTATAACGGCGGCGACATTGTGACGTATTACTGTACGTCAGACGCTATCATGAGTGGAGTGCCCTCTATGCTTTGTGTGGGTAACACTAACCAATGGCGGGGCTCACCTCCCACGTGTGAGACGACAACGACCGCCGCCCCCACCACCACCACTGTGAAGAACTACTATGAACTCGTCAGTGGTACGTGTGTTCTCCTGACTATGAGCTCATTCCCAATAAAACTGTCGATCTACGTGGATCGATCCAACTCTGCGAAAACTCTGGCTGAATGCAAACAGTTGTACAAATTTTAAAACACGCTTCCTCTTGTTTCCAACGTGCTGTCGTGTTAGCCTGGTAATCTGATTGCATTCAGCGAGAGTCCCTGCGGAGTTGGATCGATCTAAGTAGAACGATCGTTCCATTGGGAATGAGCCTATGAACCAGATTTAGCAGCAACAATATCTTTTTAAATACTTTTCTTTTTTTTTTCTCATTTTCATTTTAGAACCTTTTCTTACTTAAGTTTTGGATTTAATTATGTTATTATATGATAATATATTTAGAAGCAGCTTTTTTTAAATTTTTCAAACATTTTCCAGGTGTTTTGGTAGACGAGTGGGTCTTCATCCTTACAGTTGGCATATTCTCAGTGTTACTGATAATTCTCATGGTGATGGCGCTTCTCATTCTATGCTGCTACTGGAGGTGAGTTAGCAGAGACTTCTTATCTCTTTTGTATAAGCTGAGATCCCTTTTTATTTATTATCCTTATTATTTTTTGTTAACAGATCTTATTTCGATCGTGAAAATATACGGTGGGTGAATATTTTAGTGTTGAAATGTAACTGTTTTTAAAAGGGAGTTGAATATCAAGGGCGCGAATAATGGAGTGTATTGTAGTTTAATTCAAAAACTTTTTAACTTGTTTGTTCTGTAGTAAAAACCTAACCTATGGTGTCATAGCTTTAGTTCTAGCGTACTGATTTCAGATATATCTCGTTTTAGGCGCTACAATAACGGGACGACAATCAAAACCATAGAGAGACAGCCCACTGTACAGAGTATAGTTTTGATGGACATAGAAAAGGACGGCTACAGCGTCACTCCCAACGGCAGCAGGTGCGTGACACAAGCAGTGGTGACTTGAGAGAGATAGAGAGAGAGTTGCTCTTCTCTGTACATGCTTTTTATAAGGCTTAAATCAGCTTTGACTCTATAAGCACAAGAATTCACTGTAATGTGTCCAGTGTATAAGTTGCTTGCGAGATGGTTACACAGATATACCCTGATGTCGTTAACGGTTTTTTTAAGGTAGTTGTGTTTGTTTTACTTTCAGTCGGCGGTCTTTTGAAGCATACTGACATGAAGTTTACGACGTGAGGTGGCGCTGTTATGTTGGTCAAGACAAGGCCTTCAAAACTATATGCTGCTCTTGGATTTTATTTCGAATTTTTCATATTATCCCCACCATAAATCTGTACATGTATATGTTTTATTAACATGTAAAGTTTTGTTTTGTCATCTCAGTAAAATACTAGACCGGA